GGTGTTTATTAGTCTTCATTATGGAGTGCTAGAGGGTTAATTAGTTCAGGCTGTTCCTGCGGAAGGAGGTGAGGGGCAGGAGGGTGAGGCAGGATCAGCAGCAGCCCAATATCCAGGTTCCTAGGGCAGTCACCACTTAGCCTGTTTTCTCTCTGGAGGTGACCAGGGCACCCTCCACAGGCATCCCTGCCCTGGCTGGCAGCGGAGCCCAGAGACCTTCTGGGGAGCCGGCAAGCATGGATGTGTCCCTGGAGCCTGTGTCTGGGGACAGTGACAGCACTGTTCATCATACTTCATTATTGCAAAACTGCTGCTTTTGTACAGAGCAGGACATGGAGGCTGCTTCTTATGAAAATAAAAACTAAACTAAATAAATCATGCTTGTGTTTGTTTCTTCCTGGTTGAATTGTGGTGCAGGGGACAACAGATAATTCATCAGTCAGCCCTGGGTGGGACATAAGGATGTTGAACCCTTGCAGATTAGAGACCCCACACAAGGCTCCTGCACCAAGCCTCTCAGCCTGGAAAGAGGGAGACAGGGAGGTGAGGGAGAATGCTTGCTGGCTACCAGCAAGCTGTTTCCACAGCTAATCACTCTTCTATTAAAGCCTGAGCCCATCTAGTTTCTGCTTCCAGCTGACCTAGATATATATACATTTTTGTTTGTTTTTATAAGAAACCTGCTCCCTCTGTAAATACTCACAGACTGTGGGAGAGGGGTGATTTGCAGGCTCACAATCCAGAATTGACACCCCATGCTGACAGCCTGCAAAGCCTTGTGCCAGCTCTTAGCCAGGCACAAGGCTGGAGATTCCCCATCCTGGGGAAAGGCTGAATTACTTCCAACAGTGGGGAGAAACCCAAACCTAGGATAGCTTTGCAAGGACAAGCCTGGGTTCTTCTGCCTTGCCTACAGCAGGGGCAGTCCATCACTGGCTATGCCTTGCACCTCTCCAGTAGCTGGTGCTGGACACTGCTGGGGCAGCAGAGCTGGAAAAAGCGTCCCCAAGCCTGAGCCTGCACAGTCCGGGCTCTCCAGGTCCTCACATGGGGACAGCCAAGGGACAACCTGGCAACAGGAGGTCCTGCTACCCCAGTCAGAGCCCTTGTACTGCTCAGTGGCCTCCCCAGCCAAGGATTAAGGGTTAATGTTTCTTGCTGCTCCACTGGCATTGAATTCATCTTGGCCATCAAAAGTCCCTTCGCAGAGGAGGGACAATGCTGCTCCCGGCGCGATGGGAATGGAGCAGCGTGGCCCAGCCTGTGAGCAAAGGGAAATTGCAAATGCTGAAAACGTCGGTTTGTGGAAGTCTCAGAAACTCCCAGGCTGGGCCCCAGCTTTCTCAAGCCGTGCTCAGCATATGACCAGGGAGGGATGGCAATACTACTCTTGCTGGATGCATCCCCTCTCAGCAGCCTTCCCAGCCTCCTAGATGAATTAAGAGCAGTTTCCACTTCAAGAACAAAAAGACAAAGGTTAAATGCAAACAGAAAAAGGTGTCTCTAGAACAGCATTGGGCTGCTTCCTTTCCACAGACACCCACAGGCCCTATTTGCCACCCCTCTGAACATTCCCTGTTCAGCCTTGCAGCCACTCCTAGCATTTATTTGCCCACAAACTCCACAAACTGACTTGGGGTGCAAGAGCAATTCCTCTGAAAACAGATTTCTATATCCCTGTGATGGGAGGAGCAAACATTATCAACTTCTGAGCAAAAAACCAAACCAAACCAACCAACCAAACAAAAAAACCTAGCAGAAAAGCACAATGAAGTAATCCCTGCCAGACTGAACCCCGGCAATCAGGTACAAGATAACAATGGCTGTGGCCCTGCTTAATTATTTCTGCTCCACCTAAATGTGAAAAAACAGTAATTTCCACTTAAAAGACACTCTGTGTGATCTTCAGAGTAATTCCCCCGTGGAGCTGCAGCTTCCCCAGAGGAACCAGTGCTGCAGCACCACCAGGGCTTTGAAGAGGGAGTCCCTGGAGGGTGGGCACTTGGCATTAGCATTTTCCAATTACTGTGTGGAAAAGTCGGTCCTGGTGGGAACTCTGCTTTGGAATCAAACTGCTGCCACCCAGTACCCGGAAAGCTGCTGGCAGGAAGGGAGACAGGCTGCAACTGGATCCTCACACCACCAGGTCTGGGATCAATATGTCTCATTTAGGGTGTCCTGGTGGGGGGTCTCATACTCCCAGGACCTCCCAGGAAAATTCCCAAGGGCCCAGGCAGGGCTGGTCTGGACCTTCCCAATTGTTCCACAGTTGTGCACCCAGTGCGCAAGTGCTCAGGCATCCAGCTCCCCTGATACTTCCAGCACCAAGTTTAGAAACAACATCTGCATTTTTGGGAGTTGAAAGGAAATGAAGGTCCCAAGGGGATGACCACAGAGAGTCCGCACTGTCTGCTCTGCTCTCCAGACCCCAGCACTGCAAATCCAGCTCCCAGCACGTGGCCAATGCACGTCCCCTCCTGCTCCCTCTGCCCCAGCCGGGGTGCTCAGCGGTTCATCCTGTAGAGGGATGGGGACGAGGGCTCAGGCATAGCACAACTTACAGCTCTGCCCCCCACAAATGCAAGAAGACCCAGCACATGCTCAGTGTGTGTGGAAACACACTTTCTGCCACTGCTGTGCTGTGTTTTTAAACAAAGTCCTGCCGAGGTCCTGCAGGCAAAATCTGGACTCACATCACCTGAGACTCACCATTACTGCACGTGTCCAAATGTGGAACCAGTTGACATAAACCCTGCAGGAACACAGAGTGTTTTTTTGCAGGTATGGAAAACCATGTGGTGCCCAGGGAAGTTGTTGGTTCCCTGCACACCAGGGAATGGGAGCAGTCGCTACTCAGGGGCAGCACCAGGGGACACACAGTAAAGACTAAAACTATCTATGTTGACAGGAAACAAAGTTAGTCCTGGTTAGACCAAGTCTGATGTCTGGGACCTGAAGACACCCAGAGAGACCAATTATCTGTTGTTTCCCCACTTCATCAAAATGCCTCTGACCTGTGTATCTGGCCCTGCCGATGCTCCAGACTGATCTTCCCCCTAAAGCCTGCAGATTTGATACACTTACCATCTCACTCTTAGCCGTAAACACGCAGAACAGTACGTTCACCAAAGGAATAAAGTTGAATTTTACAGTGAGACACCATAGCTGCTTCTAAACCTGGGCTGGCCTGTGGAACAAGGCACTGAGCAGGGCCAGGGTGCCCAGCCAGGAGCATTTTCTGATCCTAAGAGCATGAATTAGAGACTACATTTTATGACAAACATCTGGAATTTCAAATGCCCTTGCAATAGATTGCATCTGGATTGAATTCTCCTTCTATTTTTTACAAGGCCTTCTTATTTAATAAATAATAATAGTTTATTACTGCATTGTAAAATTTCATAATCCTTTTCTCAGCAAGAATGAAATAGATTCAGAAAAAAACAGGAAGTGCTTCAAACAGGATGATGCCAAGAACTAATGAAGACAGAGCGTTTCCTCAAGAGAGGTGGGTCAGCTCCTTTTTTGCATTTGTGGCACTTGGCTCCGTGCACATTTGCAGATGTGCCAACAAGTGCACCACCAATTCCTAATAAACTCTTGGCTGTCGTTGGTCCAGAACAGCAGAACATTCCACGCTTGCTCTGCTGCAGGACCCGCACAGGCTGGGTTGTACCAAATGCATCTCTAATGCACACATGCTTGAGGGGCTCACGACCAAGTGTGGAGACAGCAGGCTTTTTAAATTTATTTCCTGATTTATAATAATTTCAGACCCATGCTGAGAGTTATTAACAGAGCTCCCATCAGCTGAGACAGCAAGAGTTTTGGAGGTAAAACATAATACTGATTTAACTGGTAAAATTATGTCAGACCCGTACTTTGCCCACAAGCTTTGCTCTCTGGAGGTGTGACCAGCCCTTGCCAGGCACAGGCTGGTCTCTGTTGTGCTCCTCGGGCAGTGCTGCTGTGAGAAGGAGCCAGCAGAGCAGCACTGTGGCTGTGGGAGCCCAGGACACCAGAGAGCCCTTGGCTCTCCTCTCCCTCACATGCCAGCCCCATGGCAGCTGGACACCGGGAGCACTGGGGCAAAGCCTCACATGGACTGAGTCAGGGGAGATCCTGGGGCAGGCAGCTCTTCCCTGCACTCTGGGTTAGTGTTCCAGGGCCAGGAACTCAGTCATCCTCTCGCAAAAGAAAAGAGGTTTAGGGAGACATAATCTGCAGAAGCTGCAGCAAGGGCAGGAAGGGCATGGGCGGTGAGCCTGTGACCCACAGACCTCCGTGCAGAACAGGCAAACGTGTCCCCAGCTGGACAGAGCATGTGCCTGGGTTTGTTTTTGGCACTCTGCAAGTCCTGTGATGCTTTGGAGTGAGACAGTTTTCAGGTGAGGCCTGCCAAGACAGCAAGGCAGTTCTGCCTCCAAGAGAGGTGGACAGTGGCTGGCAGAGCCATGTCCATGCAGCCCATGGGGATGCTCCAAAGCCCTGCTTGGCCAACGCAGCCCAGCAACCCCCTCCTTCTCTGCACATCATCCCATCAGGTCCTGCACAGCCCCGCACATGGCCTGGTAGGGGGGCCTCCCTCCATCAGCCCTGCTGAGCTGGGGGACACCTCCCCATCTGGCACAGCCATCTTGGTGCCCGGGATCCCAGGAAGCAAGTCAGGCTCCCACACTGACGCAGCAGAGGGAGCAAGGCCCAAGGCAGTGCATCTGCACTGGAGTTCATTCCTCCTTGGGAAGCCTGGGAACTCTTATCCTCTGAAACATATTCTAAGTGGAAGCTTCAGCAGACTGAGAAGGAGCAGCTGCAGTAAGGAAACACTGAAACTGAACCTCCCAAAGGCTTCCCTTCGCTTTTTGTTCATCAAGTGACAGTTTCCAATAATAATTGTTTAAATAAACATGGCACTGATTAGCTGCTTTCTGAACCTTGGAAGGGAATCTTCTGATCACCTTTGATTTCACAACTTCCAGATGAGAAAAAGACTCCCAGGAATGAGGAAGGTGAGAGATCAGCTTCACAGGCACAAGTCACAGAATTCAGAACAAGGATCAGATGGGGAGGATCCCACAGAGACACATTCCCCAATTCTGGCTGACGGTGTCTGTGAGACTTTGCTGCCACTGGACCTCGAGCTCCTGCAGTACTTCTGCAGCAGTTCCTCATTAATTAAGGCAGACAGACACAAACAGCTTGCTGACAGCTTCTGCAGGAAGGCTTGCTCCAAACCTCTAATGTGTGACCTCAGAAAATACTCCTGGGTACTGTGCTGCAGCCCAGGCTCAGCAGTTGTGCCCATAATCACTGTCTGCTTCTTTTAAAATCTCATGGGCACACCTTGCCATAGAGACCTCAGAAATCTTTACTTAGTCATATTATTCCCCAGTCCCCTTCGTTTCTGAAGTAGGTGACAGGGTGCTGCCATTTTTCAGGGGTTTTGTGGAGGCCATGGCACATGTTATACTGAACAGAAGCATTCCACCTTATGTTTTTGTTAATTTAAAATGTTTTTAAATAATGCCATTTAGATGCAACATGTGACTTTTCCCATGGTCTAAAGAATTTTCAAAGTAAACCATATCTTCACAAATCTAGTGTCCAGTTGTCCACAACACACCCTACTGGGCTCCCAAAGGCTCTGGAAGATGTACAGTGCTTTCCAGCTGGTCACAGCAGTTCTGAAGTTGCTCAGTAATTTGATGCTCCACACACAATGGGAAAAGACCTTGGCAGAGAGAAGCTCCTCAATACCTTGGATCCACGAGACCAACACGGTCCTATAGTGCCCCAGGCAGAAGGACAAAGCAGCTGCATGGAGCATTACATGGGCAGTGACACCCAATGGTGAGCTGGACATCACCCCAAAACAGCCCAGAGGCCCCAGTTAAGATGCCAGCTCCTCTACAGCCACCCCTGACTCCAGCCAAGACCCCCAGCTGGGACCCTCTCAGCTGCCCACGCCTGGGACCTGCCGGGTCCACGGGTGCAGGGAACAGCAAGGGGCCTCAGCTCGGCCGCACACCCAGCCAGCAGCCCCGGGATGGAGCTCACACAGGGGCAAGCAGAGAAGGAGCAAAATCCTGCTCTGAGATTGGCAGTGAATTCCCAAACTGCTCGCCCGAGTTTGGTTTCCGGGTTTTCCTTAAACCACCTGATCTTTGATCTTGCCTGAGCCTCGCAGGAGGCCAAGGGTGAACGGGCCTGGACACGATCGTGTGTTTATCAGCAACAGCAGCTCGGGCTGCAGCCGCGAGAACAGCGGGAAGCGACCGGCCGGGGCCGTGCGGGCGGCGGGAGCGGCACAGGCCGGCGCGCAGGAACAACACCGGGAGCGGCGACCTGTGCGCTGAATAAACAGACCCCCTTTATACCTTCACCGGTTGTAACGCGGTTATTCCGCAGGTCAGCGGCCCCGGGAGCGGCCCCGCGCGGCGGGCGCGTCACGTGGGCGGCCCCGCGCGCTGTCCGCAGGGGGAACC